GATTAAATTTAGTCCTATTTGTTAACATCTCAGTCGCTTCAGTTGTGTCTGACTCTCTGCAACCCCATGGACTGTAGCCCACTAGGCTCATCTGTCCATAGGATTTCCCAGGCAAGAATACTGGAGTGGGCTGCCATTTCCTCCTCCAGGGCGTGAGCATGAGAATGATGAATAATGGATTGACAAACAGAGGTGATTGCCTGTGAATTGAAGTAACACTTATATGCAATAATCAGCACTCATTTTTTAATTATTTGTTAAAGTGAGAAAAATGCTTTTTAAAATTTTTGTTTTGTAGTTAAGAGATCTTCAACTGAGTCAGAATGACAGGAAATAGAAACATTAATTTAAATAACTATGCTACGACTAAACTGAATAGAAACATCAGGTTCTTATTTTTAACTAGTGGATTTTCCCAAATAGTTTTAAAAGAATTGTCACAATAAATAATGAAAACAAAAATGATGTAGTTGATTGAAACATGGAGATTGGCAGATTTTGATGGCATTGACAAAGGCTCAGTGCCCCTAAATGTTTCGTGCATTTACATAAGCTAGTGTCTAGTTTCTCTTTTTTCCTGTCTTCCTTTTAAAAACAAACTACTGGAGAAGTAGTTTATAAAACGAAGTGACACTAAAATATTATTGACATATACAGTTTCTTTTCCCCATGGACTCAGGCATCCCATGGTACTGCCCATCTGAGAATAGAGGACAAAAAGAAAGTTTTGAATAAGACAGTAAGCCATAGTTAAAGTATTAGCATTTCTGTTGGGACACAAACAATAAAAGGCCACATTTATTCTCTCCACTGGCATGCTCTGGGCAGATCTCATTTTGGGTGTTATGTAGATAAATCATATATGGGGAACATAATGGACTTCAGAACTACCAGGCTTTACATTGGGAATGATCCACCACAGCCTGGCTTTGTCTGACTCTTTCTTCTTGAGCTGGGGATGGGGAGTGACTATTGAAAAAATCATATATATTGACTTCTTTCTTTAAACATATAGATATATGATATATATGTATATATCATATATATATATATATATATATATATATATCTGGTGAACATCAGATATAACATAACCAAAACCTTTTCCCTGAATTAAGCCTGAATTTTCTTATGACAGTAACCATGTCTGCTTCAGCTTAATTCCAATATTTCTCATAGCTCCTGATACACAGATACAGATGCTATTCAAGAAATACTTATGAATAGATGGATGAGAGGAAAATAGGAAAGAAAAGTTAGCAGATTTTTCTTCTCCCAGTTCTGGATGAATAATTACTAAGGAGACAATTCTGGGCAACAAAAATGTTAGGGAAAAAAAGCTAAAAACAGATTTTTAAAAAAAATATTAGACATAATAGTCCCTAAAACTACCTGCATCATGTTGCCAACTTGTGTCCAACTCTTTGCGACACCATGGACTGTACCCTACCAGGCGTCTCTGTCCATGGGATTCTCCAGGGAAGCATATTGAAGTGGGTTGCCATTTCCTTTTCCAGGGGATCTTCCTGACCCAGAGCTCAAACCTGCATCTCCTGCTTGGCAGGAGGATCCTTTACCTCTGAAGCCACCTGGGATGCTCCCTAAAACAACATTACTCAGTTGTCTGCAAGAATCGAACGAAGTTAGCCCAAGGGCTGTATATCACACAGTTTTGAAAACCAAAAGCTGAACTGATGAGTGCCTGAATGGATATCAAATGGCTCAGAGCTCTAGAAACAGTGAAAGGAAGGACAAGGCTGAAGGAGCACCCATTGATTCAGGAGCAGCAGATTCAATTCACAGTCCTCCAGCATACTTGTCATTATAGAACTTGACATGTGTGGGCCAAGTGATCACCTTCATTTGGTTTCTAAAAGGGATGGAGGGAATCTAAGTCAGAGTAAAACCCTGGTAAAGAAGCATTGTTAGGTTCCTCTTTTAGGAGTGATTAATATTTTTGTTTTAATATGAGTGAAAAATGGAAACTACCAAATAAAATGTCTTAACAGTACATAGACATCGCAGTTAAATTATTAATATTTAAAACTTCTGTGTGTGTCCAGGCACTATATCACTTATGCCCAACGAAATGGGTCTTGCCATCACATTTTGATAAGAATCATAAACAAAATTTCTAGTAATACTTCTTTTATATTAAATATGAGAGTATGCCTTGAAATGGTAAATTGAAACTGCAAGAATGAGATGATTAAAAAATATGTAATCCATTTAAAGGGGATCCATCGAAGATGTTAATATGTCTAATGTTACTCAGCACATTTTAACAGCTACAGATAGTTGTTCATTAACAGTAAATAAAGCTAAATATTTTATTAGAACCAAACACTATTAGAGAAGTCATAGATTAAAGGATAGATCGTCCTCTGCTTCAGACAATTAACAGACTACTTAATGGGCCAATTTAAAGGATTTTAACATATCTAAAGAAAGACATCAACATTAACCACTTTCTCAAAAAAGTTTGTACTCAGAAAAAGTTTGCAATGCTTTCCATTTTGTCTCACAGTCCTTTCTAATTTCCGCTGGTATAAATCAATTTAGATTTATTAGCTTTATACAAAAGAACTCCAGTCAGTTTTTAATAATAATTATCATTATCACTGATTAAAGTTATATTGTTCAGGCCAGATGGAGTTCTTTTCCTGTCAGCTAGAATGAGCTTGCATTATGTAGTTATAATGTGTTTGGATTTAAATAAACAGATGGCAGAGTGACAGGATATTGTATGCTGGTGATGTCAGTAGCAGTGCTTCACAAACAGAATTGCTTTAAATAAACTCCACTGGGGCCAGGATCTTGATACTTGTAAGACTGTGGCTGGGATTGAGCTTAAGTATTGTATTAATTTGAAAATAGTGCTGTTCACTTGTGGAAGAGTAGACCAGTAGGATGGTCTGAGGGTCAGCCTTTGAAAGGGTATCTGCTGAATCTGTCTGTTAACTGTGGAAGTCTTCAACATGCTAGGTCCATACAGTCTCATAAAGAGACAAGAACAAACAAACAAAGAAAAATGCCCCAGTTGGAAGAACTTCCACATCCAAAAGGAAATAAAAATTAAATAAAAGGAAGGGTTAAAAACTGTGGGTCAAGGAAAGATGGAAACCTTTGATATAATGTTATTCCATAATTTTTACAATGTATTTAGCTATGTTAAAATGAACATCTTGAATAGGCATGTAGCCATTCACAATTTATATTAGAAAATTAACAATAAAGGTTAATAGTGTGTTATAGAAAAGATTTTATCTTTGATAAATTTTTGTGTCCTTTTTTCCCTAAAGATAAACCCATTCCGTATTCTTATACTCAGAAAAGTTTGGAGTGAACCTATGAAATTCAACAGCAAACTTCAAGGAGAGTCAGTACACATGATTTCTTCTAGTTAATATTCTTTTGTTGTGATTGTAGGGAATTTTTCTGTGGGACAGCTTTTTTCACTGAGGCCAGTACCCATAGTAGCATCATCATTAAAAGGAAAATGAGGCCACAGGAAATAAAGGCTGATCTTTGAGAAAGAAAGTAGTATCAATAAAAGTTTTAGAAGAGGATATTAGAAAAATAATTGAAATTAAACTTCCCAAAATAAACTAATTCTTTTAAATGCTTGAAATATTTATATAAAGGTGTTGGTTTGCAAATTGGCACCTGTACATAAAGGGCAAGGAGAGGTGGAAGAAAGAGGCAGCCCACACCAGATTTGTAGGTGACAAGTTTCATAAGCTTGGGGACTTAAATATGAGACTTGTCTTGGGCAGCAGCAAGATAAGTAGATTTCAGCATCCGCCTGTCAGAGTCTTAAAAGTTTGCATCAAGGTCTTAACTAAATTTGGTCACTTACTCAGTCCAGATGGTCTCAACAACACCTTTCTCTCTCAAGGCTATGTCCTTGAAACAGCTGCTAGCGTGAGAATAGTCAGAGGGACATACATTTCAAGGACAGTGGAGCAGGTGAGAAGCCTCTGATCGCCCAGGTTCAGCTTACAGGTCAACTCAGACACAACCTCTGAATGTCCTCCTCCACAGGAATATAGCTAATATTGTTTCATAACTATAAATGGAAAATAACCTTTAAAAATTGTGAATCATTGTGGCATACACCTGAAACTTATTAATACTGTATATTAATTATACCTCAATAAAAAATTTTAAAAAGACAAAGTGCAAACTGATGGTTACCAAAGGGAAAGGGGGAGGGATAAATTAGGAGTTTGATATTAAAATATACACACTGCTATATAAAAAAACAGATAACAAGCCAGGACTTTCTGTATAGCGTAAAAGTGATACTCAGTATCTTGTAACAACCTATGATGAAAGAGAATGTCAATATATATAGACATACATGCACACACACATATACACACTGTATTCGTACAACCTAATCTCCTTGATGTACCCCTGAAACTAATACAACATTGTAAATCAGCCATATTTCAGTAAGTTTTTAAAGATACAAAAGACCTTTGACAAAAAGATATAATCTAAATTATGTAAACAGCCTTTTTTCTGAAGGTTTATCCTATGTTTGTAATATATTTTTGTTTTCATCGACTCCACCTTCTTTTAAACTGTTGATTTAATCCTTAATGTTTGTTGATATTAGTGGGCTGTGAACTTTTGAATTTATATCAAGTAGAATAGATCAGTAGAATAAAAATATTCAGTAGTTGAAGTAAAGCTCATTTCATGTAAATATTTACTTCTGGCTATCCAGGAGCATTCACAAAGTCATGTATTTCCTTTTCTTGTAATACAGTGAGAGGATTTTTGAATATCAAGAGATTGTATTTCTCTGCTTCATATGTATTTGACATTCAAATTTTGCTACTTAAGTGGGCATTTTATGAGCTATATTTCAACTCTAGTATGACATAAAAATCCACATAAAGAAGTAGGAATATTTCCTTTGAGATGTTAGCTCCCAGTCAGAGTGAAAGATTAAAGATGATAATACCCACGTGCTTTTTCCTGCTCTACAGGTGGACGTTGCCATAAGTCCTGTACAGGCCGATGCTGGGGACCCACGGAAAATCATTGCCAGACTTGTAAGTGTTCAACAGTGGGAAACGTGGGCGTGAAGTGGTCACGTAATTTTAATACCTGAAGCTCTTCACACTTCTGGTTATCAGAAACCTGAAAATGAGCTTTGCTTCTGTGTGGTAGACTAGTCTCTATGTAAGTCAACTGCCTAATTTCATTGCTTTCAAGTGAAACATCATCATTTCTTATATGTCTTTGTGGTTTCTAGATTAATGATACAGCACAGATGTGGTGATATTAACAATGACTTCAGAGTCCGTACATCAGAGGAAGTAGGAAATCCAAATGTATACAAGATGATAATTAACTGAATTTCAGGTTAACTGACTATTTAGGTGTTTTTCCCAAATATTAACCTGACTATCCAATCACTGGAGAAAGAAAAAAGGAAAAGGATACTGTGTACCCACTCTGTTCTTGGCACAGAGATAAAAACTGTGTGAAGTATAAATACAGATTCACTATGAAATATGTAAACTATGTATATCATTTTTGTATTAGTTATTAAAATCACTGCTAAGATATTTAAAAACAAACTTTACTGAACATAAAGACAAATATCTAATGTTTTAACATTCTTAAAGTTGTGATGCTTAAATCAGTACTGAACTTTTGCTAAGCTTAAGGATAAATGTTTTCTTTTAAAAGGAAACACAAAATGCTCCATATAAATGGTAAAGAATTTTCTTCCTGGTGTAATAACAACAGCTGAAATAATAAATGGAAAAGAGTGTGGAGGCTATTTGAAATGTATTTCTTTTTTTAGCATAGAAGACACAGAAAATATTATTAAAAAATTGAACATACAAATATTAGATATTGTGGAAATTCCTTATACTGTTGGATAAAAGTGTAGACTTAAATCAAGTTATTTAAGAAAAGCAATGTTTTATGGCTGCAATGTTTTGGCAAGAATTTTAAGCAGGATTCTAAAGCAATGTTGGATTACTGTGTGAAATGCATTCACTGTGACATTGGACAAAATGTTTTAATGGCATCCTACAAATAAAAGAGAGCCTCACTCTACATGTCCCAAGCAAAGAATAATTATTCAGCAGACAATGTTAATATTACCAAAGGTTAAGAAGTCCTATAATAGATAATTAATCCAGGCTGGGCCAATCAGATTCTTTCTAGAGAATTTGAACTTGGGATCGACAGGTGCTGGTTACACCACCTTAGAAACTTAAAGAGAGATTAAACTTAGTTGAGATGTCTGTGTTGGAGCCATGTGTATTAATGAGAAGGAGAAATAACCAGTCCTCAGTGACACCGAAGAATTAATCAGCCATGTAGAGGCAAAGGATAAATGGAGAGAGAAAGATTTTGACCATTTTTGCTTCCTTGTTCTCTGGTCTTCCTGATGTCCAAATGTACTTCTTTCTTTGGGGACCTTAATAAATGCAATATTCTAATACATTTGAATTAATTTTTTTACTTACCACCAAGTTGGGGTGGTAGAGAGTCTTGAGTAAGACAGTTATCAAGCCATAGCTCATGTTATCAAATCATCAGACACACAGTCATTTAATTCACCTAATTTTCCAGCATGGAAATTAAGCTCACTGTAATAACATGAAATTGGCTTAATGGTCACTGTGCCTACTCCACAGAGTCTATCAAATTTAAATTCCACAAACATTTACTTATGTCTGATACATGCAAACTCAAATTTTAGAATAGTATTCATTTTCATGGATTTTTATAGTTTATAAAATATTTCCATTTTAAAATTTATTTTCACAATATTTCTATTATTTAAAGAAGTCAGTTATCATTAACCTCATTCCACAATTGGGAAATGTAAACAGAGGAAGTATTTAAGAGAGTTGTTAAATTTACACAGGTAATACCTGAGATTTTGACCTAAATGTCCTGAACCTAAGAATAATACTGCTTCCTGTATACCATATTGCATAGCAGTTTAGGGGACAAGGACACTGGATTTATAGTCAGCCAGACGATAAAAATCTCAGTTGTTTCCACTTTCTAGCATAAGAAAGTGATTTAATTTTTAAATATGATTTTAAAATTTTAACTATAGATAGTTACTATATCTATAAAATGGAGATATTAAACTTACCTCAGAGGTTTACTTCTTTGGAATCAAATTCAATACAATAATAATGTGGTTTGTATGTTTAAGTATTTTTGCTATATACTAAGGGCCTAGTAAATAATAGGTAATATTATAATAAACTAAAAGAGATACTGTTAGAAAACTTAATCCAACTTAAATCTGAGGGAATGCGTGTGGGAGCAAAACTTCAGACCACTTCTACCCTGTGAATGATACTGACGTAGATGACTAGAGAATAAATAGCAAAAACACTGGAGTGAAGAGAAGGACGCTTGCCTTTATCACTCACTCCTGTTCTCTGTTTCCTCCTTTGAGTCACTCGAAAGATAAATTACATATCCATATTTACAGAGCCCAGCATCCTGAGGCAAAATGTATTTTGGAAGTACTCAAAGATGTATTTATTGTAAGGCCTGGAGTCTAGAAGTACGATCAGAAATTTTGAGAATAGACCTTATGAGAGATCCTATAGAGATATTAGACATCTAGAGAGCTCATGGCAAAGTGACATCCTTGATAAAGTTTATTTTGCAAAGAAATGTAAAATTTTCCTAGCTTCTTTTAGATTTCAGATAGCCCTTCTGCTAGTTAAAATATATTACTTACCCTTACAATATTTTGGCCACCTCATGTGAAGAGTTGACTCATTGGAAAAGACCCTGATGCTGGGAGGGATTGGAGGCAGGAGGAGAAGGGGACGACAGAGGATGAGATGGCTGGATGGCATCACCGACTCGATGGACATGAGTTTGAGTAAACTCCGGGAGTTGGTGATGGACAGGGAGGCCTGGCGTGCTGCGATTCACGGGGTCGCCAAGGGTCAGACACGACTGAGCGACTGAACTGAACTGAACACCTACTTCAGATGTACTTATCTCTGAGCCCTGATTAAACTTTTTAAAAATCAGAAAACAGGGTGGGCAAATTTTTTAAAATATCCTGCTTTTAGTGACTGAGCATACAAAAATGAATTTTAGGATCTTTTAGACATCATCTTTATCATTTACAGATGATTTCTTTCCTTATGACTGAAACAAATTCACTTCAGTGAGGGTTTCTCTGGAGGTATTCAGTTTCATATTTGTCAAATATTTCATTATTTTATGAATAATTACTCTTTGATACTTTGCATATATTAGGAAGAAAGGTAAAATATTTAAAAGCTCCACACCTTAGCCAAGGACACTGACCTTAATATACATATTATTGACCCCATTATATCAATGCTGACATCCTCCCACAGGATTTCCTCCTAAACAGCATATATGCCAGGAATGATCCTCTGTGTCCCTAAATGGTAAGAAGTCACAATAAAGACAAGTAATTCAGGTCCTAGGAAAACAAGTCCATGATAATGAATGACTTGTTGGGATGAATGAAGTGAAGAGTGGTGATTAGAGTGAAAACATCTCTGAGCAGAGATATGGAAAAGCAAAAATGGTGATGATATCGATGCTAAGTTTGAGGGAAGGTCTGTAGGATTCAGAAGTTTTAAAAAGAAGAAATGAGGAAGAGGTTTGAGGTTTTGTTTTTAATAGATTTTGCGAAGTGGGATGAACAAATGGACAGCTTAGTATTGTAGGTGGGCAAAATTTGCCACCTTAAAATGTGTCTCTTTGGTATGAGGATTAATTTAGGCTGACTATTTTTAAGGCTTGGAAAACTTGGAAAACTTTTATCTTTCCCCTAACTTCCTAGAAAAGTGCAGATAAATAAGCTATCCCATGAAGGGAACTGTGCCTACGGACAGCTATAGCATGAACTAGGTGAGTTTGATGAGGAGGCATTTTGAAGTCTGTTTGTTAAAATTCCTCTGAATCCCACTGTCTCTGTGTTCCAAACATTAGCTTTTCTATCTCCATCTCAATTGGCTTCATCACCTTTGAAGTCCCAAATCACTTTTCCCAACATCCTGCTTTGTCTTTAGCTGAAAATTGTTTTTAAAGTGAGAGTTTTGGCCATTTTGGCAAGACTCAGTTTTATTGCATTTCTCCCATGCATACATGTTATTAATCTTTTATTTGATTTTCTCCTGTTAAGCTGCCTCCTGTCAATATAATTTGTAAGCCAACCAGAAGAATGTAGAAGGGTAGAAGAAAATTTTTCTTCTCAGCACTTTGGACAACAGCTCACCATGCATACCTATACAATTTTTAATTTTTTAGCAAAATTTAGTAACACGTTGCAACTTCTTTTATATCTTGCTTTGGTTGTTACAGTTAGCTTTGATTGCATATTGAATAATGCAAATGTGCCATTTTCCTCTATGACATTTGATAACCTTCATACTGTAAACTCTGAAGCCAGCAGCTATTTTAAAAATGTTTTTTTATAAAATTTTTTAAAAATTAAAATATTTTCTAAACAAATTCCTTAAAAAATTTAGAAAATCTAAAGAATTTTGTAAATATTAAAGCAAGTAAATTGTTCTTGTAGAATCAAACCAGGTGTTCCATCCTGTTTTACTCAGGAGTCTGATTTTCTAAAATAGCTTAAATTCATTATTTTAAGATCCTTTTTGATGTTAGAGTATCATGACTATAAACCTAACAGAAATATTTCTCACATAGTTGTAAAAGGTCAAAATAGAATTTATGAAGGGTACTGTGGGCCTGCATTGTACGTGGAACCGTGACTCAAAAGTTGAAAGTGCTTTTAAGCTCAGTTAAATCGTGGCCGTATTGCTCCACAGCACAGCTTAAGTAAATTGATTCAGTGGATTAATGTACTCATGTCAGGGGAGACAAACTTATCTGCTGTGTGAAGTCTGAAGCTTATAGTAGTATTATTTAGTAGGCTTACTGGTAAGAGTGACAACTCTCTCTGTTCCTAAGAACTGAGTCCTAAGGTTTGTGCTGGAAGGTTTAGGTGTGAAAGAGACTAAGCTTTAAGAAATAAATAATAATGATTAAAGGAACAAAGTTA